TCACCTGTCACCTTTTCTCCATTCAATAGATGACCATCTGTAAATTAACTCTAGTGTAGCCACAAATGTGATCCTACAGCTTTTAAACTCATTTATATTTTTTATAAAAACAAACATGAATTATCGAGAATCAGTCACAGTTACATCAAACGAAAGCGCGTATGCTGTGTGTGTATTGTGATATTACGCCCAAGTAGCACACGACGTTGCAAACTGGTCCGAGAGATAGCAAAGTGGTCTTGGTAACTTTTACGACGTCTTTACAACGTTGCGAAGACGCAAAATATTTGCCGTTGCATCTTGGCAATTTTTCGACGTCGTTCAAACGTCATGATAAAACCGCTTTTAGACGTTAGCATTTCTTTTAGTTCATCAGCATTATTTTTAGAATGAAAAGAGTCTAAATCTGCCCTTTCAAGAATCTGAAGTCCGCATAAGAGTTACGTTGCAATGTTTGATTACTTTATTTCATCTAAATATATTATCTATAGGTTCATCTAATGAAATGTAAATTAATATAAATACTTATTAAATTTAATTAGTATTAAAAATACGTGCTAAATAATTGTTTAAAATTTTGTCGGTTATAATGTCGTGCAATGTATGGATACACGGATTCGGTTATAACGTCCTATTTGCTATACCGTATATCATTCATATTAATCGGTTATTGTGTTCATGATACAGGTTGGTGCTCAGACTTTGCGCATATAATCGAAAAAAATAGTGTTAAGGAAACATTAGCATTACTATGAAATATTGTAATCTATAATTATGCGATACTTAATTGTGTAGTATCGAAGAACACTAAATATTTTTTTCTTGATTGAAAACTGCAGTTTTATTACTTGTCGTTTGGTATCTATTCTTCCAGACACTGTGTAATTCGCGTTTTTTTAAATATTGCCATTATGTATGTCTATTAGATTATCTCAATAAATGAATGTTGGAAATTAGGTTTTGTTCTTTATTAAATTTAAGTATATTCATTATATTTAAATAAGTATATTAAGTAAGTCATTTAAATATAGTATATTAATAACTTAAGTATATTCTTCGCTTAGATTTAATTGCTTGTGATAACAAAGAAATTCATATTAAATAGAAGCAAAATTTTTCCATCGTGTGCTGTTTAACGAAGAGCTTACTTTAACGTACATAGCTTAGTATACTATATTATTTAAATTATTTCTGTACAGTATCAAATGGATAGTTATTGATTATAAAAAGTGCCTGAAATGATCATTGTAATCTAGCACTATTTTAAAATGTAGAAATTAAAAATAAGTAAATACATTTACATATGATCGAAAGAAACAACGGCATTACTTGTTAATACTGCAATCCATAATTATTGTACTTTTAAACAATTGCTTACTATTTAAAAAACACAAATATTCTTTTATTAATTGGAAATTTTAGTTCTGTTACCTTCCTACTGTAACAGTTTTAAATATTATTAAAATATTTTAGTTTAAATAATTTAAATAGATGTACATTAAGGTATTTGTGAATGGCAATATTTGAAACCAGACTCGAGTGCCACGTGCGACTCTCGCACGAAGAATGTAATTTATTTTTAAATGTTAGAAATCTTTTTTTTTTTTTTTTTTTTTTTTTTTTTTGTATGTCGCCATTTTGAATGCTAAATAAAGTTTTTTTTTCTGTGTTCCATCATTGGAGTTGCTTCATATTAAAGAAGTATCACAAAATTTTAAAAGAAATAATATAATCTGTAATTGGATGTTACTTAATAAATTCTTATGTTAACTCACTCCAAACTCCGAACTATCAGCGCCTCCACATCTAAACTCCTGAACTATCAGCACCATTACATCTAAACTCGAGAATAATCCTACGGAAGAACGTAGTTAGAACTCTGAATCCGAACTCGATTGACTGTTAGCTGGAGAGCGCGTAATTTCATGTAATCTAATAATTGTATATAACTGTATCTAAATATAATATCTTTATTTATACAGAAGTGTCAGTTTTTATGCAAAAGCTTGGAATTATTTAGATATTTCATCGAATAAGAATTAGAATGGAACAAGCTCGGCTCCCGGGTGAAAGAAAAGGTAAGAGATTTCTTTTTACCTTTTAGAATTCTATTGAGAGATACAACAAATTTTGGCATCCCTGCCGGGACGCCCGAGCTAAGAATAAGAATTTAAATTAGACAATAAAGATTAAGAATACAATTATTGATTACATTTTGAATTTTTGAACTGTTAAGAACATGTCTGAAGAGATTTTAAAAATAAATTAAAAAAGAAGCGCGCAGCTCTCCGAACATCAGTAACGAAATCGCTTAAAGATTTGGAATCGCAGCTTTCGGAAATTGATCCGAAAATTCATGATTTGGAAGAAAATTTAGAAATATTAAAGAATAATTTCGAATCGCTTAAAAGTGTCGATACAGAATTAGAACCTCTTTTTAAAGTCGAAGAATTTGATGCTGAATTCCAAAAATCTGAAGAATATCGTCAAAAGGTCGTTAAATGCAGTTTCCGTACCTCCAAAAGAATCGACGAATTAAAACGCAAATCTACTGAAACGGTAGTAAATAACCAGTTCAGTACTGATAGTCAAAGCGAACCAAAACATAACGAGTCTGTTCGAATTAAATTACCTAAGTTAACTTTAACGAAATTCTACGGAGATATAAACAACTGGCTAACCTTTTGGAACAGTTTCGAGTCTGCCATTCATAAAAATGATTCATTAGATAAAATAGACAAATTTAATTATTTGAAAGCTCATTTAGGTGGTTCTGCTTTAAATACAGTCGAAGGATTACCGATTACTGCTGCTAATTACGATTCCGCAATTGATCTTCTAAAAGAAAGATTTGCGAAAACAGATGTGCTCATTTACACTCACATAAATAACATTTTGAACACTAAACCGTTGAAAATCTCGAATGATGATGTTCGCGCCTTTAGAAAATTTTATGATAATATTTCTATCGAATTAAGATGTTTAGAAAATTTGGGTCAGTCTCTCGAGAATTTATCAAGTGTGTTATGTCCAATAATTCTGAAATCACTTCCCCAAGATATTTTGCTTGAGATTAACAGAATGAGTAATGGAAGTGCGTATTGTAATATTAAAAGCCTGTGCTTGATTATAGCTCAATGTTTAGATTCACGCGAAAGGGCGGAAGTCATAAATAAGAATTCAGAGCATTCGACAGCGAATAGTGGGCGCCGTCAGTCTGCGTATGCAGTCCAGAAAATAAACACTCGTCATTTCAGCGATGGAAAGAGCAATAAATTAGAAACGAAAGCTTCTTCTGCTTCTGATTTAGTGTCCACGGGTATTAAAGAAAAATTGATTAAGGCATGCGTTTTTTGCGGAGATTTTTCCCATTCAAGCCATAAATGTCCTATTGCCCAGAAACTAACTAATGACGAAAAGGTTGAAATACTACGCAAAAATGGCACTTGTTTTAGGTGTTTACAAAATAAGGGTCACATCAGCAAATTTTGTGATTCTAACATTTTTTGCTCCCATTGTCACTCTAAGCATTCTACGATTATGTGCAACAGAATTAATTCCGAGAGTAAAAAGGGAACGATCAAAACTGTCCAGGAAGTTGAAAATAAAGTACTTTCGAATCAAAGCAACCGTTCTGAAGTTTATTTACAAACTTTGGTCGTAGGGGTAGCTGGGAAAACCTTAAAGGGTTATTTAAGATTGCTAATAGACACCGGAAGTCAGAACACGTACATAAGTCAATATGCTGCTAAAACGTTGAAATTAGAAAAGATAGGAACTGAAAGAATTAAACATGGGTTATTTGGGGGTGTAGAAGTTTCGGAAGATCATAATCGTTATCAAATAGATTTAACTAGTTTGGATGGAAAGTACAGGTGTAAAATCGAAGCACTAGACCAGAGGAAAATTTGTTCGTCACTACCTAAGATCAAAGACGAAAAATTAATTAAAGTAATGGAAAAAAGGGGAATCCTTATCAACGACAATCATGTGAATGGAAATCTCTGTCTGTTTCAAGAAAATCCGGAAGAGATTCATATGCTGTTAGGAGCGGACACCGCAGCACAATTGTTCACTGAAAGAATTGAACATTTTGCGGGGGATTACGTAGCCTTTGAGACCAAGTTAGGCTGGACTTTAATGGGCAAGATTAAAGAGAATGCGAATACGTCGAGTTCCCTGTCCGTTCTTTCTTTATCCTTACATGTTTCCGATACAAATTTGTCCAATCTTTGGCGTTTAGACACCTTGGGGATTTCAAGTGAGGAAAACAAAACGAAAAGTGTCTTGGAAGAAGAAACCTCGAAAACATTTCTTAAAAAGTGTAAAACGAGATAGCTCAGGGAGATATGAAGTAACCTTACCCTTTATTTTAGATAAATCCGTCTTATCCAGTAACCGTACTGTGGCAGAAAAGACACCTCGTCAAAACCGAAAGTAAACTAATTAACACACGCAGAAGAAAAGATTACGAAGAAATATTTGATGAGTGGGAAGCGAAGGACATTATTGAGGTAGTAACTGAGGAAAAGGAGGAAGGAGTGCACTACTTGTCACACAGACCTGTAATAAAAGAGTCTAGTGAAACTACAAAGATACGGCCTGTTTTCAATGCATCTGCACGTTCTAAGAATTCACCCTCTCTCAATGATTGTTTGAGTAAAGGACCAAATTTAATAGAAATTATTCCACGTATATTGAATCGTTTTCGAAAATATCGCATAGGAGTGTCATCTGACATCGAAAAGGCCTTTTGTCAAATCAAAATAGCAGAAAAGGATAGAGATTTTTTAAGGTTTCTATGGTTCGATAATCAACATAAGTTTAAAATTTACAGACATAACCGAGTTGTTTTTGGACTCACATCAAGTCCGTTTCTGCTAGCCGCTACACTTAGTCACCTTTTGACTACAGTCCCAGAAAAAGTTTGTAGAAACTTCTAATATTTTGAAAGGATTCATTTTACCTCGATAATTCGTTAATTAGCTTAAATCACGTAGATGAAGCCTGAAAATTTCGTTCAAGAAGCAAGATTGATTTTGGCTTCAGGGCATTTCAATTTGAGATGTTGGCGATCAAATTTTCGCATTGACATGATCGATGAGATAGAGAGCAAGACGAAAGTTGTCCCAGTATTAGGATTAGTATGGGATTTAGAAAAAGATAGTTTGAGTTGCAAGATCGAAGAAACATTTAACTTGAGGGAACCTATTACCAAAAGAAAAGTTTTGTCAATTACCCAGAAAATTTTTGATCCCATTGGCTTTACTGCACCGATAACTGTAATTCCTAAGCTAATTTTGCAAGAAACATGGAACCAGAAGATTAAGTGGGATGAAGATCTTCCTCTTCCCCTAAGTGAGCAGTTTGGGACTTGGTTGAACCAATTGCCTCTGCTATCTCAGATTGAAATTCCTCGTTGGTTAAATATTGATTACGAAAACGAAGATACCGTAGTGCTCCACGTTTTTTCGGATGCTAGTAAAAGAGCCTATGCCACATGTGCATTTTTAAGAGCTGAAACCATCGAAGGTGTAAAGGTTCAGTTAGTAAGCGCGAGAAGTCGAATAGCCCCTATTAAGGAACTTACGATTCCACGGCTTGAACTTCTTTCCTGTCTGATAGGTGCCAGGCTTGCCAAAACAATTCTATCAGATTTGAAACTTAAGAATTGTAGAACAGTGTTCTGGAGTGATTCTTCTACAGCTTTGGGGTGGATAAGAAGGGATCAAGCATGGGGTACGTTTGTTCACAATCGAGTACAAGAAATAAGATCGCTTACCAGAATATCTGACTGGAGGCATGTACCTGGAAGTTTAAACCCAGCGGATCTCCCATCGAGAGGATGTACTATTGAGCAATTACAGAAATCGGCATGGTGGGAGGGCCCATCGTGGCTTTACTTACCAGAAGACGAGTGGCCCCATGTAGAAGAAAAGCCTGATGAAGAACTTATAAACAAGGAAAAAAGGAAAACGATTCTGACTCTTCTAGATCATGGAGACAATTTGGACCGGTACTACAAATACTTCTCTTCATATAGAAAAACCGTGAGAATGATCGCTTGGATTTTCAGGTTTTATCACAATTTAAAGAACAAAGATAAAAACCTAAACCCTGATGTCTCAGTTGATGAATTTGAGAATGCTGAAGAGACACTTTGTGGATTGGTACAGAAAGAATCATTTACAGGTATAAAACATCCCACTAATCGTGCGTTGAGACCAATCATAGACCAAAATGGAATTATCAGAGTCAAAACGAACGTCCTACAGAGTCAAGATGATGAAAATTTCCGATATCCAATCATTTTTTCTTCAAGACATCTTCCTGTTCAGAGACTAATTTAGGAGAAACATCTAGAACTCCAGCATGCTGGTGTCAGCACTTTAATGACAAATCTTAGAGAAAACTTTTGGATATTAAAATCCAGAAAAAGTATTCGAAATATTATCAGAAAATGTGTAAGATGTAAAAGATTTGTTTCACAAAGAGTGGAAGTCGAGCCAGGATTTCCACCCGAAGATCGAGTCAGAGAAGGGGCGACTTTTGAAGTCGTCGGTGTAGATCTAGCGGGTCCTCTCTATCTCCGTGAGGGGTCTAAAGCGTGGTGGATAGTCTTGTATACATGTGCCATTTATAGAGCCATTCACCTCGAACTAGTTACTTCTCTATCTACAGAAACTTTCATCCAATCTTTACGTAGATTCATTGCCAGAAGAGGTAGACCTTATGTGATATATTCCGACAACGGAACTAATTTTGTAGGGACTAACAGTGTTCTTAAGAAAGTTAATTGGAACGCCATATGTTCAGCTGCTTCTATCCAAAGGATACGATGGAAGTTCAACCCTCCGACCGCCGCCTGGTGGGGAGGTTGGTGGGAGAGGCTTGTGCGAATGGTGAAAGAAAATTTAAGAAGAAGAGTGTTAGGTCGAACGTCCTTAAATTATGAAGAATTATATACTATATTATGTGACTGTGAACAAGTGATTAATTCGCGACCTATCACATACGTATCAGAGGATAATCAAGATCCATCACCACTGACCCCTATGATGTTTCTGCAAGAATTGCCGTCATCTCAGGAGTTCCTGATATGGACTACGTAGATTCCAAAGAACTAAACCGTCGAGCCAAATACCGACAGAGAATAAGACATGATCTACGAAACAGATTTCGTAATGAATATCTTGGTCAGTTGAGACAACAGGCAATAAAGAAGGGAAAATTTCAACAGTTGCAAGTAGGCGATGTCGTTCTATTGGAAGACAGCCAGAGAGAGACGACGCATACATTGGCCTTTAGCCAAGATAGTCGAGCTTTTCCCCAGTAAAGACGGAATAGTTAGACTAGCGAGGGTCAAGACAAGAAATGGAATTCTGCTTCGTCCAGTGCCCCGGCTTTTCCCGTTGGAGATCTCTACTTCCGAATCCGTTGGCCCCCTCCGTTCCCCGACAGAGCACCTCGAGATAGAAACGACCATGCAACTGGTCAGGCTGATCAGGCTGCTAGTATTCCAGAACCTGCCTCAAGTCCTCGAGTGATGACCAGAGCTGGACGAGTTGTTCGGCCTCCTCATCGACTGGACCTGTGTGTATTGAGTTCCTCCGCATCGTCGGATCTCAATGGTGGGAGGTGATGTTACATCTAAACTCCGAACTATCAGCGCCTCCACATCTAAACTCCGAACTATCAGCACCATTACATCTAAACTCGAGAATAATCCTACGTAAGAACGTAGTTAGAACTCTGAATCCGAACTCGATTGACTGTTAGCTGGAGAGCGCGTAATTTTATGTAATCTAATAATTGTATATAACTGTATCTAAATATAATATCTTTATTTAAACAGAAGTGTCAGTTTTTATGCAAAAGCTTGGAATTATTTAGATATTTCATCGAATAAGAATTAGAATGGAACAAGCTCGGCTCCCGGGTGAAAGAAAAGGTAAGAGATTTCTTTTTACCTTTTAGAATTCTATTGAAGAAACACGATTACTTCTTAATATGAAATTTTGTTTTTTTTAATTATTTATTGTGAATATATATATTTCTCTTGTGTTTTTTATTTAGCAAAGATTAAAATGTTCATATTTAAATTAATTTAATTATTACAGAGGATTATTTATTCTGACAGCATTAATTAATTAAGTATTTGATTTGAGCTATTTGAGGAGATATAATCAACGTTAAGCTTAAGGAAAACTTGTGAAAGTGAGAATGTGTATGATGAACGTATTTGGCAAAGGAGTCTCACCACTATCCAGTTCTCCCAAACACCTAGATTCTCGCCGATCCGTTTTTGCATAATTTTTGGCCCCCCCACAAGCCGTCCCCCCCCCCCCTCCCTTCACCCCGCGTCTTCGCCACCCCCCTCCTCGCCGCCCAGGCGGCCCCCCCGCGCAGGTTTGAGCCCTGGCTGTGGTAGACGCGGCGGCGCTTTTTCCTGCACCCCGGGTTCGGCGTCTCGTGCGCGCCTTCGCGCACCCGTGCGGCGCGCTCGGCGTGCTTTTCCGCCCCCCCGTCTTGTTCTTCGGCCGATTCGGCTTGCAGCCGCGTCGGACCACGCACCCCGTCTCGCCCACCCCTCCCGCTGCCAGCTCCCCGGCCCCGCCCCCCCCGGGCCCGCACTGGCGTGTGTACCTCCATTCGGCACCGCCCCGGCACCTTCGCTGCCCCCGCGCCCCCAGGCCGGTCCGGCGCCTACTCCCTTTTCCCAGTCTCTTTGTTTTCGACACTTGTTTGTCCCGGCCCCCACGCCAGCCGGGGCTCCCCAGTGCTCCCGCCGCGTTTGCCGCTATATACCACCTTTCCGCGTGTCCTCCTTTCCTTCCGCCGTTCCCCAGGCTCCCCGCACTCTCCCCCCCGCGTCCCGGACACGGCCCCTCCCCTCCTCCCTTCGAGCCCCCCTGCGACGCCCGACTTTCTTGTTTCGCTCGTTTTCCCACCCCAGAGCCCCCGGACCCGTTTCCGGCCGCCCTTTCGTGCACCCCACCCCCCTCCCCCCACCGGCGGTCCCGCCAGTCCCTGCCCCTGGCGTGGGCTTTGTGCCCTACTGCCCACCTGCGCCCTCTCTCTGCCCCAGGCCGCGGCGCCTGGTTTTTTTCTAGGCGTTCCTGTATCGTTTTGCTGAGCCGTGCTCAGCTTAGAGGCTGGTGCTTGTGCGCTACTGCCACCCCTTCATTCCCCTTGTCTCTTTGAGTTTGTCCCGCACTCACACTGCCCTTTCCCGGCGCTCCCTTCTGCTGAGTGTTTTTTTCGGGCCCTCGACCGACTGCTTTCCTTCCTCGGATTATGAGTTAGTTCTCCGGACGCCCTGCGGCACACCATGACTGTTGATAATGACCCCGTTTGGGGGCCCAACGGTTGCTCGGAGGCCTTTTACAACCACGGCTTTGGGATCGGCCCCCTCACACGGCTCTAGAGCCAGTTGAACCACCCCACGCCAGGATCATCGGAACGGTGTTGTGCCTCTTGCTTTTTGATATGTACGCTAACTTGCACACCCGTTCCTTGAGGTGTTGCATCATTATAAATAATCAAGTATTTTTCAGTGTTGAACAACTTCATACATTCGCTCGTAAGTAGAGATGTTTGATTTTCATTAGGCCTTTAGAACCCAAGAATTGCGTTGCTTTATAAACCAGTAGAAGTCCAAGTCCAGATGAATTAAATATGAAAATCGAAGATTTCCGCCTATTTCAGTTGTGCTCATAAGGCCAGGGTACCTATCTTTTCACCCATTCTCAATGCGCTCCACACCCATTACACCCTTCCCCACTCCCCAATATCACCAAAAACATAAGAATAGTACTGATCTCGTTTAATTCTTTCCCCTTCCCCATGCCCAACAGAACCACTCGGACCAAACAGGGATGTACATTTTTCTACCCTTACCGCCCCTACCTCTCCCCCCCTTTTCCTCCCTTCTATACATAGCATTTTGGTTACGTATATTTTTTATGCGCTCATTTTTAAAAATCCTTTACAAGGGAGGATCAGGTGCTCTTGTAGTGATAATAGTTTGTCGCAAATATCACGACGGATCTATGTGACAGGTGAAAATGTCTGGGTTCCTGAAACTTGCAACAGCCCTTAGATTTGAACTCCAACACTGTTTCCCACCAACGGTTGGCCGGAGATCGACCACTTAATTGGCTTATGCACCCTTTTGGACCATTCGAAGAGCAACAAACTCCACCTAAGGCTCTTGAACCATAATTTTAGCTTACAAAAATACACCTCAGACAAACGGAAAGTATTTATTAGGCCCAATCGAAATTTCGCGCAATGCTATGAATTAACACACGGCAGGAACATCATAGAGATATCCTCCACCAAGGTTAATGCCGGTCTCTACGAGAAGAGACTCAACGGCACCAGAACCTAGTTGAAAGCACGTCTTAGGCAACCGAATAGTTGACCCAGGCACCCCGATAAAACCTACACAGCATCCAAGATATACTTTGCAGAATACCAAAGAAATCTTTGCAACAAAGTAAATCACCGGAATATTCACAAGTAGAAGGAAGACCCTAGTGTTGGACATGAAAATGTGTTGGAGAAGACACACGATTAAAGACCCCCCCCTGCTAGTGTACTGTTGAATTATTCTACATATTGAGTTTTTTCGTCATATTTGCAATGCAAACGTTTATCATCATTCTTAGTCGGCTTTCTATTTTAATATCTAAGGCGCGCTACAATAGACGAAGTATGAAGCAGAACACTGAAAGAAAGTGAAAAGGAACCCACGAAAAACAATAGTTGTCCCCCCCTTATTTTTGTTTCGGCCACCAAGCCCACATTTAGCTTATCGATGTCTATTTGTGTAAGTTTTAGACGCTTGTGAGGGTGTTATCACACCCTATCAAAATGAGTAACGAAGTATGTGAACCCCACAGATACCCGCTGTTTATAGAACTTAGCATGCCCCTCGTTGTGGGATCCCACTAGGACAACGATACTTTACGGATGTGACGGTCCCAAATTTATATTGTTATTTTCTGGCTGTTTTTCAAGGAGTATTCCTAGCACTACAATACCAAACAAACGGATCTCCCCCCCCCTACGTCCCACAAGTACGTCGCTTTTTTACTTTCTGAGTGGACTAGTAGTTTATCTTTTTCGTATTCTTGACTGACGGTTCCCTATTCCTATAGGCTCCTGTTTTCCAGTCCTTGTCTGCCGCGCTGCTTTTGGGAAATTGCCGATTCCCCCTCCGGCCCGCTTTGGCCAAGGGCTTCACACCCACAAAATAACATCCACCACCCCCCACCCCCAACCCAGCCCTCTCCCGCGCTGGTCCTGTCCTGGCCCAATCTGGGCCCCCGCTTTTCCGCACTTC